GCATAGCCGGCGTGAAAAAGATAGTGAATTAATATTTTCATGTAGTTGTCGTGCACATGCACTCAATGATGTACACACCAGCATATTCTAATGATTCCTTAAGCTTATTTTAGTTAGAAATGAATACTTTTGCTCAAATGCACGCATGATTGGACTAATGCATATTAAACAGCAAGATAGTAAAATATAATTGCATATTTCCTTTTGTTTGTTTTAAAACAACAATTGCATGTTTCACTTATGAGAGTCATATTGGGTTGTTGATGCTGTTTTGGTGGACATTTATTTGCTTTAATCACTATTTAAAATATAATGATAAGCCATAAAGTATGGGCATATATAGGTATTTTTTATACTTTAACTTTTGGTTAGTCTAATTAAGAATAGTGATGTTAATGAGATTTGACGTCTTTCGTTTTTAACATTGACGAGGAATTAGGATTATATTGTGTTAAGAAGAATATTTATTGACTATATTGGGAGATCGGCGGAGATCTTAAGAGACTTAACAAGATTACAAACCAGAATCGAGCTTTGGTTCCGAAAAGATCGTAAGTGTTAATATCATAGTTTATGAAACTTACTTCTGAATAGGTGTCAATGTGAGCTTTTAACTTCAAGAATAAGAACACAGAATGTGTCGTTGTGAATTGTTGTATCATCGCAATTGGATCACCATTTGGATTCAACAAGCAACTTGTGTTGTGTGTGATGTGAATTGTAGATAAAACAAAACTCAATTCTTTAAACAAGATCTCGAGTATCTAGTAGGCAAATCATATATATGTGGCCAATAAAAAAATATGATACCACTTTTTTTGTCAACAATAGTTTCTTATATTGTTTTAGGTTTTATACATCTCGTCAAAACATATTTTGGCTCAAGTTCAAATAGATGTACGGACTAGATAATTTCACTAACTGACCAAATAAATTTTAATATTTTTTTGTTCAAAACAAATGAATATTTCATATTTGAGTATTAATTATCACAAAGAAGATATAACACTAAACATATGAAGGTACAGTAGAAAGATCCATTTGTGGATATAAATATATGAATGGAAGTGGGGACATATAAGAGAATCTAACCTCCATTGAGCCAAAGAAGAAGTGGTTTGGTGTGATGAGAAGGAGAAGATGACTCAGTGAGCCAGTAGAAGAGTGACCGCCCGTGTGACTCGTTCACTGTCACATAACCTGAAAACTGTGAGAATCCTACTTTTGGTTGCCCTGGAAGTGCCTTGATCCTGTCCTCCTCTTGCTCTCT